AAAGAAATTAGCTCTTTAGTTCCTAACCAGAGATAGATATCTATGAATGGCTGGGTATATAGCCTTATCTTTTTAATGCAAAGATATAAATATATCTGGATATTTTTCCTTAGAAAAGATTTTTCTTTCACAGTTGGTGTATTGTTTTATAACGTGTTCCTTCCCCTTTTAACCTTGTAAGGCAGGACCGAGTGCTGCTTTTGAGCATTTCCTTGTACGTAACTCTATCAATGTGTTGTCTTGTTTTATCTAGGGGCCAGATAGGAAACACAAATAAGAAAAATGGTTCAGGTACAAGGGTGGCTGGTGTAGCGGGGTGGTGCTTAAGCAGAGATCAAGTGTCTTGTCCAAACTGCTGGGTGTCTGAGCTGCAGCCCATACCGCCCTACCTCAGTACAGGCCCCATATTAGCCATCTTCTGGCTTTGTAGATGTCAGAACCCAGATCCACATTCAAAACACCCCAAATGAATGCCATTCACACTTTGGCTTGGTTTGCAGGAAATGCATCTTCACACAGACGTGGTGTAGAGCAGCCAGCTCCCTCCTCTTGCTGTGACGGGCGGTGTAGCACCAGTGCGTGACCTGTGTGTATGGCTTGGATTCCACAGTGGACAAACGCAAGTACAGTGAGACAGCAACAAAGATGCAAGGATTGGTGCTCAGTGGCAGCTCAGAGCGTGACCTCTTTCTTGAAAGATAAAAATGTCCAGACATGTGTCATTCCTACTCCTGGAGCAGAAGTCTTAGGCAGGATGATTGCGTGCTCCAAGGACGCTGCTGAGGGCACTGCTGCATGGGAGGGGGCAGACTTGGGGATGGTGTGAAATATCCTATAGTGCCGACGACAGATCCTCACGACAAAGAATCCCAATACGTCCCAATATATTAGTAACAGCAAGGTTGAGAGGCCTCGCATGAGAGCAGTGGGTTCCAACCTTGGCTCCGTGTCAAAATCTGGGAGAGGGGTTTTAAAAAAATCCTTACCCCTGGGTCTTACTCTAGAACAAGGAAACCAGAATCTCAAGAGTTGGCTCAGGGATCCTGTTTCAAAAGCTCCCAGGAGATGGTGAGAGGCAGGTGGGACTGAGAGCTGTAACTCGGGGTCAGTGATGGGGTCACCCCTACCCCTTATTGAATTCACTCAGTGCTTTGTTAAAATAAGTGCTCCATAAATGTTTGTGGACTGGATGGCGGATGGATTAGCTGTCTATCATCAGTGGTCTGCAAACTGCTGTGCAGGCCTGGCATGGACTTTCAACGTTCTATTGGTGGGTGATATAAGCTGTTTTTTTTCTTTTTAGTCAATTATTCAGTACATCAAAAGGATACAACTTCCAGCAATCAGTCAGCCACATACTAACATGCTTTCTGCTGGAATAATTACTCCGGAAAGTGAAAGGTACAGAAACAATCTGGAAAATATATGCATGCCAAAGAAGCTTACAAAATTAACTGGCAATCTTTCTACCACCCCTCCTGGTCATATGCGATGAGAAGAATTAGAAATCGTTCATGAAATTCAGGCCTGGAACCTTCCATTGCTATCACTCAAGGAGTTATGAAAGGAGAAAATGAAAAACAAAAACCTCCACAGAGGCAGGAAGGAAAGTCTAATATCAGGAAACTGCTAATCCTAGCCAGATTTCCCTTCTTCTCAGAATTATTTGACTGGTGGACTAACTCACAGCTAAAGGAGTTATGGAAAATGTTCACAGGTCTGGGTAGAAATTATGAAGTGGTGAGAAATGAGCAGGATTAGCTTGTTACTCTGGAATCAGTGCCACCCAATCTATCTCCTGGTCACCTGCTGTACAAGACAGAGTCATTATCACCTGTCACTTCTCTGAGGTCAGGATGGAGCCCAGCGGGACATTTAGAGAGCTTGAAACCTTTACAGGGAGCCACAGCTGTCATTGGTAATGTGAACTGGTGAGGGAGACATTGCAGCAAATCAACCATCAGAACAGGTGATGCGTGAGCTTTGGTAGGAGGGAGCAGGTGTGGTGGGTTCAGCAGGAAGAGCACTAACTACCATAGGCCTGGAGAAAGTGACAAGATAGGAGAAGACGACCCTTGAGTTTCAACAGATAGGACAGGGCCTAGCCAGGGAAAACTCTGGATGCAGTATAAGGAACCACATGTGCAAAGGTCCAGCGGCAGGGAGAGCTTGGTGTGCTGGGGGAATGTGAAGAAGTTCCACTTAGCAAGGGGCTGCTAGAGAGGCAGCCAGGACCAGATGGTGCTGACTGTGGACAGCATGGATGAAGAGCTCACTTCAAGTGGAAAAGAGGCAGGGACCCTAGAAAGGGGAGACTCAGAGTGCAGAGGAAGACACTGGGTTTGGTATAGGCCAGCATCTATGTCCCACTGTTTTCTACTGTGTGCCTTGAAGAGGTGACCAAGCTCACTTGTAATCATAGATGGAGAGGAACACAGACTCCCCCCATGACTGAGGCACAAACAACCCAACCCAGATGGGGCTGAGCTCAGGTGAGGCTGATGGAGCCGAGGGAGCAGGCTGGATTCAGGCTGGGCAAGCAGGGGACCCCTGGCCTGGAGGAAGAATCTGCGTCCAAAGGGGAAAGAGGTAAGAGACTAGGAAGCCTTTGGCTGCAAGAACATCAGTAAGACTTTGGAGACCAGAAGGAAGATGGAGGAAGACGAAGAAAGGAGGGAGGGGTGGCCAGGGAGGCATCACACCCGGGATACAACCCACTGTTTGGCATTTTCTCCAAATCCTGCAACAGAGATTTAAAAGTTTCAAATTGCCTCATGCTCATTTCAGGATGCCATCGTCGGATTCCTCATTCTTGGCTGAGCTGCCACAGCCGTGAATGCGCAAGGAAGGGCCCGTTGCCTGGCCAAACCGGCTCCTACCAGAGCTGGCTGCTGTGCTAAGCCTTACAGTTGTTGTTGTTTGGAGCTCGAGGGTTACAAGTGGCACTTTCTGGGAGGAGTCTGGCTCTGTGTCCCCGAATCCTTCTCCACCTGTTTGAAGTCAGAGCATCCAGAGATCTGCAGCTGCGGGAAGACATGGAGCTCCTGCCCAGCCCAGCGCAGCCCAGCCTAGGCCAGCCCGGGGATGCTGGGGGAGAAGAACTCCCAGCCTTGCCAGCTCCCCGATGCTGTGGGGGCCTCCGGGAGTGAAGGAAAGGCCTCCACGTCCAGAGGGAAGCAGAGGAGCATGCAGTCCTGTAACTGCACCTCACAGCTTTGCTGTGTCAGTGGCTGGAAGTGACCACGGGCCCAGTTAGGCTTTTATCCAATAAACCTCTTGTACATGCAAGATCAGGGGAACTGCAGATTTTAAGACAATTTTTGGTCAGGGCGCTCCCCGCAGTAAATACTTGTTTGGTCTCAGGACAGCAGGCGACATGAAGTCATCGCAATCCTTAGAACAGGACAATAAATCAGGCTAATTTACAACGTGACTTTTTGGATATTAAAATGTTAACGACATTGTTATGAAAAATAAGAGCTTGTGTTTTTGTTTTAACCATTCTCAAGGCCCTAGACCATTTTTAATATTTATTTCTACTCTTGTAAAGAAATTACCGTATCATCTAATTTTTTAAAAATCTGCTCCTCCAATCCAGCATCCCCCACCACGGTGATTTATTTTGTCTATAGAAAATGTTAATAATCAGCCAGGAATCCAAATGTTAAAAGCAGAGAAAAATGAAATATTTGCAAATGAAAATAAATGATCCATTTTTCTTCTTTTCCGAGAAATTGCTGCTTTCATAAGATCCAAGATCTAAGAAGGGGAGGAAGTGAATGATTTCAACCCTAGCTGTCCTGAGAGGAGCTGCCTGGGCTTCATATTTTCCCTCCTGTCCATGCGTTATGGGGACATTTACAAAGCGCTTCCGGGTGACAGGGGCCTTTGCTTCTGAAACAACTAGGTGGGGGCAGGTGACAGATACTTCTGGCCATCACTGCAATGAAACGAGGCGGGCCTTCAAGAAAGGGCACGGGCCAGATTCCGGAGGCAAGGACTCCAAAGATGAGGGAGCGAAGGGATTGTTTCAGAGGCAGGGCCATTTGAGTAGGGTATTGAGAGGTGAGTAGGAATTGCCTGACTGGAAAGAGCAGTAGAAAAAAGACAGGTTTTGTGGGAAAAATGAAGAACACAAACTGAAAACAAGAGGTGAAGCCATACAGTGAAGACACACCGCAAGCGAACTCAGGGACTGTATCTTCTCTCCTGGTTGGCAGGGTGGCATCTGAAAGGGTCCCCTGAAGGTTATGGAAACCCTCCTGGCTGCAGTGTAGAAGACAGAATGGAAGGGGCTGTCCTGGGCATGCACGTGCTTCACGCAGGAGACAGGCAGGTCTGCCCCCTGGGCAGCGGTATGAGAGACCCAGGAGGGCAGGGGGCACCATGACTGTGTCACCAGTCAGTCAGCCTCAGGTTTTCATGCCAAGAACATAGAAGGCTTAGAGCTCACAGCCAACCGAAAAAGTCATGCCGAGAAGAAAAAGCCAAAAAAAAAAAAAAAAAAAAAAGATGTGGTTGGGAAAATGAAAAAGGCAAGAGGCATTTATTGGAAAGAAGAAAAGAAACTAAGAGTGGAGTCAGAGGTCTCAGTTCTGAAAGATTTTCCTTGATAAATCATTTCTGGTCTCTTCTTACATACTTCTGAGGACGGGGGACTCACTACCTACTACCTAGGCAGGTAGGTACCATTGACAACTTGTGTGTGTGCCCTGAGCTACAACCTTCTCCTCCGGCTTCATATGTACAGGTGCTTTTCAATTGCTACAGGCAGCTTCTGGAAGCCCACTTGAAGCGGCAAGAAGGCCGGAAGAGCTGTTTAGTTCTTGTATCACCCTGATGGAGGATCCTCCATGACAGCAGGGTGGAGGCTTCGAGAGAAGGCCGCAGTGAGGAGAACAGCAGGCACACTCCCTCTGCTCACTCCCGCCCTGGCCCTGGGCTGCCAGCCACTCTGGCTGCCTGACCCCATGCTGTCCCCCTCTGAAGCTCCCCATTACCGTGCTGTTGCAGCCCGCGAAGCAGGCAGACAGGTAGGTGACACCGTCTGCCCCGCACACTGGAGTGAAGGAATCGGTTTGGCATTTGCAGTTCTTATTGCAGGATGAGTGGGGGTTCAGAGCCACGCCACGCATTGAGCTGGAGAGGAAGGGAGAAATGGAGCCCTTAGAAACAGGTCAGTCTGCAACAGGTTGCCCCAGGGACCTCACCGTGCCCTCAGCTGGGATGGCCACAGGGCACCCGTGCTTGAGAAGTCCTCCCTAGCCTCTCTTCCTGTCCTCCTCCCGTCTTAGCCCTCTGTGTCTTGCAAGGATGGGCCCAGGGCTGCTGCAGACTGTGCCCAGCACAACGATGCCAGGCTGGGTAGCAGCTGAGGCCAGCTCCAGTTCCTCTCCTGCAGGAGGAGGAAAGGGCCCCCTGGGCTGGTGGCAGCTGGGGCTCTGCTCAGGGTCACCCCTTCCCTGATGCCAGCTCATCTCCCATGGCTGAGCAGTAAACTTTCTCCCCTTTTGGCTTGGTCCTCGGGGCTGTCTGATTCCTCCCCAGCAGGCAGGAAGCCTCTTGGTGGTTAGGACACGGCTGCAACCAGACTGGCTTCAATAATTATCGTCTGTCAGTCTGATTCAATATCCCGAGCAAAATAGCATTAAGATCTTTCAATTTTCCTTTGTATCATTAAAGGCACAGTTACCCAGAGCACACAAACCAGGGAAGGAGAAAGGGGGCAGAGCGGGTGTCTTTAGCCCATGGTGAGAAAGTGACTTTTATTCAGCTCTGTCCTCTAAGGCTCAGAGGACCACGTGAGAATAAAGATGATGATGGTATGTTTGTCAGGTTACATACTGTGCTCAGGTGAAGCTACTCACTCTACACAGTACTTCACTCATGCTCAGTAGAACTCCTTGGGCTTTATGGAGAGGGAAACTGAGGCACGGCCGGGTTAAGTCATCTGTCCAAACGAACACAGCTCGTAAGTGGAGCAGAGGGAGTAGGGCAGCGGCAGTGTGACCACAGGTCTTGCTCTTTCTTCTCCCTTTTTCGCAGTAGCATAATGTTGCCATGGTGATGCCCTGCCTTTGCAGTCACTACGGTTTACTACATGTGAGAGTGGGCTGGACAATGCCAGGGAGGGATTTGCAGCAGATGTGAGCCAGAAGGCACCATGCCTGGACAGGGAGGGATGAGGGGCTGGAGGGGAGGTTGGTAAAGCCCACTCCAAGCTGGTGGCACAGAGGCAGAGGGGAATATGGTTCCTGAATGACTTATAGATGTATAGACAGCAGCCTCAGCTCCTGCCTCCTGTTCCTCCTGCTCACCCTTTCGGTGCATAGAGCCCCAGCTCTACTGCATGCTCTGGCTTAACAGCAGGGCCAGACCTGGTGGAGAATCCTGGCTGTGGAGTGCAAGGGAGGGGTGAGCTGCAGGCCGCCGCTGTGCGGCAGCATCAAGCTCCAGGCTGGACTCCAAGGCAGCCTCAGAAAGCCGTGCAGAAAGGGGATGGGAACAGAGACTCTCCGTCTTCCCTGGAGGGGTCATCCTGATGGGACTCTGGTCTAAAGGCCGGGGTAAGGGCTAGCTAACTTCTTGCCCGTTCTCTCCTTCCTTCTGCCTGCTTTATTTCCTTCCCTTTTTCTCTCCATCACTTCAAAATAACTACCAGGGGCTGGAACTTCAAGTTGCTATGGGAGTGTGATGTCAGCTTCTGATAGTTAAGGAATTATTGAAATCGCTTTTGTCTTTTGTTTTAAGCTGAAGACTGAAATACATTTTATTTCTACTTTCTCTCTTCCCATCATTCCTAAAGTCAAATACCAAACACAGCACTTGGAGTGACCTGGGGGTGACACCCCCGCATCCTGTCGGGGGCTCTATTGAGTGCTGAGCAGGAAGAGTCTGATGCTGTGACCCGGGACTTCTGCTCAGCCACTGGAGACTGAGCTGGCTCTATTAATGTTCGGGGGGCAGACAGCCTTGGCATCCCTGGTACACAGGCACGAAGCAGATGTTTGCAGTACTCACTTGTTTCCATAGGGAACAGTAACCCCAGCCACGGGGCCAGTGTCACAGCCCAGGAAGAGGAAGGAGACGTAGCAAGCCGTAGACACCAGGTTGACCAGCATGGCCATCCGGATGGCGCCCAGGGCTGATAGGCTGAGCTTCTTCACCAGGAGGCCGCCCAGGAAGATGCCCAGGCAGGCGCACGGGATGGCTGTCATCCCTGGAAGGAACACAGAGAGAGGGCCATGAGTGGGAAGGAAGGGCCGGTCCCCACAGGCCTGAGGCTGAGCCCAAAGAGTCCCCGTGACCCCACTGTGGTGTCACTGATGGACAGAACTCCAGGGTCTTAATTTCTGTCCCAAGAGCTCCCAGAAAAAGGGGAGGGGGATGAAAACACTCAGTCACCACGCATCTTACTGCACACACCTGTGAACCCCAGTGGACGCATCATGGGACACACACAAGGCTGACATGGGTACAAGCAAGAGCAAAGCCAGCCCGAAACACAGACAGGCACTTTACAACTACAAAGATGGTGGAGTAGGAATGTGTTCTCTGCCTTTCTGGGGTGATTTGGGAAGGGGACTCAGGATCATTTGGGGGATATTTTCTTCTTCTCTAAGGAGGCAAGGAGCGAGGGCTGCACGGAGGGCTGAGACTGTGTAAGCCAGAGGCCCCAGAACGCGCCCCTCTGCAGACTCTCAATCAGCCTGCAACTCCTCAGGAAGCAGCCTCAATCACATCAACAGGTTTGGTATCTCGGTGAGTAATTGGTGCATGCATATATTTTTTTCTCTCTTGCTTATACACAGAGCTATCTGCAAGGTAGCAGGTCCTAAACCTGTCTTTTCTGATTCTCAAAGGTCCATGGAATTTCAGGAGGACCAAAGGATCCCAGGGTTCCAATCTCCTGTTTAGTTTGGCTCCGTTCTGATTCATTTCATCTCCAACTCTGCTTTCAATTACTGCGTGTCATTTATCTACCGCGTAGATTATGCATGGCCAATTTTCCAGTCTGGGCTGCCTCTTCCCTGCCAATCAACCGACCTCTAGGTCAATCGACTACATCAACCAGCTGGTATGTGCTAAGGGAATGCAAATTAATTTTAATATTAGGGTAAGAAAATATAATCGGGGAGGCTTAGCTCGGCAAGAAAATAGCACGAGTCATTCTTCAAACAACACACACCTCTGTGGCATCTGCTGTTGTTGGTAAATCTGTGCTTGGTTTCCCTCCCTTGGTACAGAAATAATCTTCCCAAGGTAGCCCTGCATGTGTCTCTGTCCTCGTCCCAAGCCACAGCCCTCCCCCTCCCTCCCTCTGGAAAAAGCCAGTGAGCTCAGGTCCCCAAGGCTCTGGCGCTGCAGTGCCCACTCCTGAGAACCTGCACGGGGCCTGGGGTGCAGGTCTCACCTGTTCTCACCCAGTCTTACTGTTGCGTTGCCATGGCTCTCCCCACTGTCTAAAGCCGCCTCATTTATTTTTTCATTTTCCTGTTTCTTGTTCTCACTCTCTATCTTAGGATGCAGCTCCCCCAAGCACCAGAACCTCTTAGTTCTTTCCGTTCAGTCCAGCCCGGGTTCCAGTGCATCAATACAGGGCCTGGCGTGGGATGGGGATGGGGGCGTCATTTTCAGAATGGATGAGTCAGGGCAGACTGGATCTGTGTACATGAACGTCAGTGACAACGTGCCCACACCAGAGAGGGGCCTGGGTCTTGTCTCATTTTCTAGTGGAGAATGTGGGGGTGTCACCTGCTGGCAGTGGTAACCATGGCAACGACAGGCTTTCAGGCACCTTTCCTCCAGCTCCCAGCGTGAGCCTCCCAGCTCCTTCCCCATGGGCGTGCGTGTCCTTAACATCCCGGGGGTCATCAGCACTGCCCCACCAAAACTCCGTCCTCATTATATTACCACATGCAGACTGGGCCCTTTTCATTTCCCTCATAGATCAGCAGCTTCAGCCCCTCCATCATCTGCATTGTGTTGCTCTTTTCTGACTGCCCCATTTGCAGATGGCATTGTGGGCGGCCCAGAGCTCTGCCTTGATGCCCTGGGATAACCACACAGCCCTGTTTCCCAGGGCTCCCAACAGAGCAGCTCCCTCAAAGACTTCCTCAGCGCCCCTGCCAGCCCCTCTGACTCCAGGCTGATGGAGCCACGCTGCACACAGGGCTCAGGGAGAGGGTGTCGTGCTGCCTGCCTCCATGCCCACACAGGAGAAGGCCCCAGCCCTCAGCCCGAAAAAATGCTCTAACAGGCAGAAATCACTGGGAGACAAACAGGAGCAAGGAGGCAAAATTGGTTTTTTGACCTTCTTCCCTGAAGACTATCGATTTGTCGATAGGAAACTTAAGCATCTGTTCTAAAATGGGACACAATCTTGAAGCTGAAGCAAGTGTGCAGTTATAATCAAAATGTAGAGAGGAGTAGCAAAGGTATCAGGAGGAGGGAGATTCACCCTCCTGTGCTGGAGGGCAAGAACCTGAGAGAGCCAGAGATAGCAAAGAAGTTACCACTTTCATTATAAAGTGGTACATTTTACCCTCCCTCTGTCAGATGCCTATTAAAGGCTGATGGCATTTGACTAATATCTCTTGGAAGCAAAACTTACAAAACAGTGGCTGGGAAAGACTTACTGGTGAAAAGGGGGAAAAAAAAAAGTGTGTGTTCCCTCCCCTAGCAGTTACCACGGAGGGGAGACTGCTGCATGGCGCATCAGTGAGGTCAGGTTCGATTCTGGTCTTCAACTGAGATGCTCTTTACTCTGAAAGTGCACAAAGTTTGAGGGAATAGCCCGATGAATTCCTGCATCTGGGAGACCTTCCTGTGACCACTGCTCGGGCCAAGGTTAGGACATTTCCAGCAGCCCAGGGGGCTCCCTGCTTTCTCTGCCTACTCAGTCCTCAGCCCCAGGGTAACCATTTCTCTGGCCTCCCTCACCTTCATTAACTAGTCCTCTTTTTAATGCCTATAAATATGTTCTCATTTGTGTCTGACATCTCCCAACCCCGAGATTCATCCACAGTAACAGTTCACACTGTGTGATCAGCCTGTAATTTGTTTACCCATTCTGCCGTTGACAGACATTTGGGTCGTTTTCAGTTTGGGGTTATTATCCATAAAGCTGCTCTGAACGTTGTTATATATGCATATACAACTCGGGGACCTAAACACTCATTTCTGCTGGACAGATGCCCAGGAGTGGAGCTGCCAGATCGCAGCGCAGGCATACACTTCGCTCCAGCAGGTGCTGCTGAAGGGTCTTCCCCAGCAGCTGCAACGCTGTGCATGCAGCTGCAGTGTCAGAGTGCTAGGGACTCCACCTCCTCAACAGCACTTGGCTGTCGAAGCCTCTCCGGGTAGCGTGCATCTGACACTCAGCCGCTTGGCATTTTGTGAAGTGGTGGGAGATGCTGGAGGACGAGCTGGGAAAGCATCACTCCTCTCCACAGATGTGGCCCCTACTTAGGAGAGAAGATAAAGTGCGTGGGGCTGGACCCACCCCATGCTGGTCCTTGCTTCCACCCTCAGCAGGACTCCATGACCCTCTCCTCTCCAGGGAATTCGGAGAGGTTTCCATCACGGGCTGCCCATCCTTGATCCCCCTCTTCTGTAAGGCACCTTCCACTGGTTCCTTTCTCTCTGCTCAGAAACCTGCTCAAGTGTCTCCTGTCCCTCATGTGCAATACATGCTGCGGGCTCCTTTCTTCCTCTGCGGAGTGGGTGCTCCCTGTCCTCTCCTCCCTGGTCCCGAGGTGCTCTCCACACTACAGGATGGGCTCTGCCACTGCCACTGCACACACAGTCTGGGCACAGGACATCCAACCTCCTCAAAATTGGCAAGACATCTGGGGCCACCTTTCGCTTCTTGCTTAGAATTCTCTCTCCCTTGATGCCCATCACCTGCACTCTCTGGATTTCTTCTGGATGCTGCTAAATTACTCTGCAGACTTGTTTATGTCCTCAGGTTGGTGTTTCACCCCTATTTTTTAATTTACACACTTTCCTCATATAAATTCCACTCTTATTCCTCAACCACCATCCATATGCGGATGCAGTTGAATCTCTATTACTATAAATGTTACTATAATACTACACTGTTCTGCCTTACTAACCCGGATACCTGCTGGAGTCCTTGGCTGAGTACAGCACATCACACAGACATTACTTGGGCAACTCAAGCCTTGCAGTTTCGGCTCTGAACTCAAGATCTCCCCAGATCTGATCCTTCCCAGCTTTTTCCACTTTTCACACATGGTGCAACTAGCTGGTGAAGCTAGAAACATAGGGTGGCTTCTTCCCTCTCTGCCCCGGCCCTCAATTGCTGAGTCTTTGGTCCACTGCTAATCAAGATCTAAACTCATCAGCTCAAATAATGCAGCTTTATTTTCGTGAGAGTTAGGAGAGAATAAACCACCACAAAATGAAGATCAAACTATCGCATGCCATGTGACCACATTTCTCAACCTGCTTCTCATAAAGGCCAACTGATTTTCTTAGAGTGCCAACCCAAACAACTGGGAGAAGCTGTCTGAAATCTATATGAGAACTATAAAGGCATGCTTGATCCTGGGAAAGAGTGGTGTGATTCATTAATTAGGTCTGTCATGGAAAACAGTGGGAGGAGATGCCTGAAATCATTATTGAGAAGAACTATAAAGATATGCCTGATCCTGGGAAGAAGTGCTGCGATCTATTAGTTATGTCTGCCCTGGGCACTGGCATGGGATGCCTTCTGAGCTCTGTATTTAACTATGGGTTTCATGCTGGCAAGAATACTCTTGCTCTCTTATGTGCCTGACAAACATCTGCTAACCTTTCAAGATTCATCTTATTTGCCCTCTTCCTTTATAACAACTTCTTCAAATTTTCCAGCTCACCCCAACCTCTGGGCTTCCAGCCCTCTCCTAATGTTTCCTATGCACATTTTATATTTTTCCTCTTCTCATCATTGCTATAGTAACTGGCTCAGGTGTATACATCTCACCCTGAGAATACATATAGAAATTCCTTGTATACACAAGCCCAGCACAGCACTGGGCTCTTCAGGGCTCCTATACATTCTCACAGCATGAGCTGTGGGACAGAAGGATAGAGGGACACACTCACCAAGCAGCTGGTTGGCAGACGAGGTGGTGAGGTTGAACTGCTGTTCCAGGTACTTCCCCAGGAAGGCAGCAAAGCCGGCCACCACTGCAATCTCCATGCAGGCGGCCAGGATGATGCAGGTGAACACGGGGTTGGAGAGCAGGTGCTTGGTGACCTTCGGGATCACTGTGTGGGGGGCAAAAGGTCAAGGATCAAGGTCGCACACAGTGAGCTCCCATCCTAGGGCCTCCAGCTCCAGCGGTCTGTTCGACCCACTCTTGCCCATCCCTGTAAGCAGCATCAGAAGACACCTGGTTGCTCAGGCCAAAACCTGTGCAGTACAGGTCATTCACATTTATGAAAACCATGGCTTCAAATCATACACTGATATTCTGCCAATTATCTTCTACTAAAGAGGGAGACTACCATGCCTTTTCTTACAATTCACAAGAAACATGAAAACATTTTTTTTCACCACCACCAAAAAAAAAGAAATTTAGAGTCTGTTTCTCAAAAGAGGAACTAATATATCTAAATTAAACATACATCAATATATTTAAGTATGTCAATGTGCCTATTATTCAATGTATACAACACTGTATATGTATGTTAATAAAATATATTGCTTAACAGTTTCAAGAAAGAAATGAAACTTGCGTCCTATCTAAAACAGACACAAGCCAACTCTAGCTTCTCTTCACTGCCTTCCTGGAAGGAAGTTCCTGCCAGGCCAGCTCTCCCTGGGGTACCAGGGACAATGTGACTGGGTCTTGCTTAGCACTGTTGATAAAGTCATTCCCTGCAAGGTAGCCAGTGATACCAGCGCAAATCATTTTCCTGCTCCACCCCACAGTGGCTGAAATCCACAGTTTGCCCTGGCTCCTTGTCTGCCCTTGGTGACCTGATCACGCTCAAGTGCACCCCTTGCTTCCCCCTGTCCAGCCCTGCTGGTTCCCGCTGTTTCTCTCTCACCTGTACTCAACTCCTCCCAGCACAGGTCTTGTGCTGGGGCTCTTGCCCACCGCACTGCCCTTCCCACACCTCTGCCGTATGTGCCCCTTCCTCCTCATCCCCCAGTGCAGCCTGGACGAAGCCCACACTCAGCCCAGGCTCAGGGCCCTGGTGAGAGTTGGGGGCAAAAGCACTCTGTGGGTTGAAGTACCAACAGAGCCAGAGAACAAGTGCTGTTGAGGTCTCACTGTCCATTCTTATTTTATTGGACTCCTTTTTTCTTTTTTGTTTCTTGGTACTGGAGAGAAAACTCAGGACCTTGTGCTTGCAAGGCAGGAGGTGGCACCACTGAGCTAAATCCCCGGCCCTGTGCCTTTCTGGGTTTTTTTCCTCCATTAAGTTTATTGGTACATTTTAGATATGAAACACAGTTACATTCATCATTGGGATTTTGTACCATTACATGAGTATCTTGGTTCTTATTTTTTTCCTCTTCCCCTGTCCTCCATTCACCCCCTCCACCCTTCCCTATTTGCAAAGACTTTGTTTCCACTTTTTTCCTTTTCTCATATTTTCTCTTTTCCCTTCTTTCCTTTCCCCTACCCCTCCCACTTACCCTACTCCTTTAGACCTTTTCTTTCTATTAC